GTTGAATTGCCACTTTTGCAAACTAATCACATAATTCGTTTGTTAGCTAAACTACTAACCTCACCTGATATCATCCACGATGTTTTTCTTCATTGCTTCTTCGCCCACGATTAGGTAATATGAAGTCGATTTTTAACTAATAAATTCAAACAACACTTAGCATTATTATTAATTGTTTTCTTTTTTTTTCATAGGCAAAATCATCAGTCATCTACAGAACAAAAAGCAAAATAAAAAACAGAAACTCTTTTTCAAATCATTAATTTCTATTAACCTATCCAATAATTGAAGCAATAAAAATTTCCCGTACAAAACAGTAAATTAACATATAATTTATTTTCCCAAAAGCAGTAAAGATTCATAAATTGAAAATAACTTAATAATTTTAACCCCCAAATCAAGCAGTAAAATTAATAATTTTAAAAGTAATTAAAAGTAAAATTTTAAATTAATAAAAATTGTTCAAAAATTGCAAAAGCAGTACTAACCATTTCAAAGACGCTTTTTTATATTCTCTCGCCCAAATATTCTATCCAAAATCGCATTGCTCGCCCACAAAGAATTGTTTGAAATGATGAATTTGAGTTTCAACTTTCACTGATAACAACTCAAACAAATTTAACACGTTTCAAATTTTCCTCTAACCCGGTTGGAAAGAAATTATAGAAAAATCCAATCTAACCAATGCAAGCTTACTAAATACCATAAACCACAACCTAACAGCATGACTAAGAAAAGAAAACCCACGGTACCCAAACTGGATTAACACCAGCTTAGAACTGGATAAATTATTCATTTAAAGACTACTCTTAAGTCTGAACACAAAAGAACAAAACACCAAAAAGTCGAAAGACAAACCCAAAACAAACGATTCGATTTTTGAGGAAAAGACAAAACTAAGACAACAAAAGAAAAAACTAGTAGTAAGAAATGGCATGAAAAGTTGAATTTACACAGGGCCCTCCAAAAAGAGACCACAAACTTATACCCTCACTTCTGGCCTAACCCACCAGAAGAGGACGCCCTGAGCATGCTCTATAGCCGGCCTCACCCACCGTGCTATATCCACGCTTTGTGACACCCACGACACTATTTTTGACGAGAGTTACTCAAGTGTGAGTAGCTCTTAAAATTAACCGAACAAAGTAATAACGCTTTTGCGATAAAAACTAATACAAAGATCCTAACTAAAAAACAAGATTAACAAAGATTTGTATATGTAAATGATATAAAGCAGTATATAGATTACAAACAGCCCAAAGACGAGCAGCAGGGAACTTGACAACCCAATCACACTCCAACAAGGGAATGGCAAAACCCATCTGACATGCTGCCTACAGTCACTACACTCAATGGATTTAGAGTACGACTTGGCATCGCAGAAAAGGAAATCCATTGCAACAGAACAATGGCCATCTCGATGTTCAAGTATACGTACAAATCCAAATCACCAGGCATTGCATCCAAGATCAAATTTCACGCCATTCCCAAACGAGATCGAAACACAGTTGTCTACCAAACAAGAACAAACTATCATAACAAACCATTTGGAAATCAGATTGACTTCCAGAAACAACAGCAACAGTTGGCGGTCACAGTCATTGCCGAATGACAGACTGATTTTGACGATTCCATCTTCCTGGAGAAAATATCATCCATCCTCCATTACAGATGAATGTCAAAGAACAAAACTAAAACTCTCTAAACCCCGGATGGGTGGAACCAGATCTAAACTAGTATTTATCATTGGTTATTATTATGATATTTTATCTCTATAAAACATTAAAAACTAACCAATCAAACTACATCAAACTTACAACCTATTTTTGTAAATAGTTGAAACTACTTGTAGTTTGAACACCAGAACAATTTGAATTAAACTTAGAATACAGTTGTTCTCATTCTGGAACTAGCTCGCGCAAACCGGTGTACACTAGATCTATTGAGATTAGGAGATATAAGAGTAAGATTAAGATCGGTATTAGACTAAGAAGTTGCACGAACCTATCCGGCCGAAAATATGATAGCGTGACGAGCAGACGTTGTACCTTATCTGAAATTACTCTATGAGTACAGTAATCCATAAATAACTCAATGCATCCAAGAAGGGTACATTTTAAAATTGAGTGGCACGTGTGATTAGACAGCAAGACAAAAACATCCGCGTTGGATTTTTCCTAGCTGCGTTGGATTATTACGATATTTGAACCGAAAAAATCCTTACTGCACTCGCTGAAAGGTGGTTTCTGAAATCCTAAAAACTCTTTAGGGAGATCTAACAACATCAATTTCACGGTATACTGCTTGTTACACATTCTTTTCAATGGTCCAGATAAATAAAGGTAACATGAGTTCACCGAAAGGCAAACGAATCTTGGAAAAAAGTTAATCACTGCCTTATCGATGCTCGTTGTTGAGCTAACGAAAGAAAAACAATTATAGTGACCACTTTTCAAAAACTACAGGATGCTTAGCGCTGAAGTATAATTTAAACAGGCACCTCATGGGCCGTTGGGAAGACAAAGAGGGTTATATTGACATTCAAACGGCGAGTAGATCGCAATTTTTCTTGATTGGACCTTCTTTCTAGATAAAACATTTCAAATTCTTTTGGGAAGGATTCCCACTGCTAAAATCTTAAGAACTTCTTCTCCTTGGTGAACTAACTACCAAGGAGAAGAAGTTCTTAAGATCAGTTATTGCTGCTTTCGGGATATGTAAACGTTTTTGACTGGGCAGTAACCGCATTCATTACGAGAGAATTCGTTGTAAATGAAGGAATGAGCGAAATAAACGAGCTGGGTAAACAGTTTACCATGAGCATCTGCAGTATCTACTAAATTATAGGTGATGTCTACAATATCGGAAAAAAGCTCTAAAGACAATTTTTGTTTAAAGTTTTTAATATCTAATCATATGTGAGATAGAATTCAAGCCCGAAGATTCAACGTTTCTGTTTTATTTACTCTTCTTGGTTTTTGCGCTTAGCGATATGAGAACACACATAACCGTGGTAAAATTGAACAGCCAAAAAGGATGTTTTTCTTCCAGGATGAGCCACTGATTTACCGTGGTTTTATCAGACAACAAGAACTTGAGTACAACCTCGACGCTTTTTGAAATTGTTCAGGGAGACGAGAAGCAGAAAAGACGGCCTGTAATTCCAACATCGGATTAGACATTGCTTTCATAGGCGCAACCCTGGCCTTGCCAGCAACGAAGGATACTTTAGTCTTTTTCTTATATAACTACCACGCGAGCACGAAGAAACGCAACCGCGCAGAAATGATTCCTGGGCGGAGTCACCAAACAGATTTGGTTCAGAGTTTTCAACTGAAACATCGAAAAAATAACTCCGCGAGCAGAAGATATGGCTCAGTAAGGTTAATCCGTAAGGCCACTCAAGAAAGCGTGTTTCCAGACCTTTAATTCGTGGGTCTTCCCAGTGCTGCTCTCTTGCTCTTTCAAATGTCAACTGTCTTTAAGTAGTGAACGCGCTCTCACCGTGTACAGAGCGTTGAGTGTGGTTAAGTCGAAAAAGGAAAAAACAAAATTTGTTACGGAAAGTTGCGTCACGGGGTATTTGAAGCTCACGACTACCATCGCAGCTCCTAACCATTAAGTTCTTCTTGCGGTCCCTTAGAACACGGGATACTTTTTTGAAACTAAGTGATATTTGCCTGTAATTGGCGTAGGCAATGTAGCGATGTATGTAGCACATTAAATTGCTTGTAAATCGATATCTAATTGATACTTTTTGCTAAATGATCTAGTAACCGATATCGGATTTGCATGTTTAACGCTAAATCTGCTCGTAAGTGGAATCCAATCTGAAAATTTGATGCAAAAAAGGTTCGTAAAATCTGGTCGCTTCTTGTCAAAGTGGCTTAGAAAACCGGTCGAGTCTCTCAACAACTCATTTCAAATATTCTTAAATTACTCATTTTAAATATAGAAGTTGGAGCAAAATAGAGCCAGGAAACAATTGCAGCTAACCATATATCTGTACAGCAGCATCATCATCATCCAAAAATTTGAAAATAATTGACTGCAAATCACTTAAGGTAGCCGGTTTTACGGGGGTTGTTTAATTTTGCGATCAAGGTTGGTCAAAATTAAAACTGAAAAAAGGACAAAACACGGTCACTGGGGTTGTAACTGAACCTTGTCCCAACATGTTTTTTATAAAAAAAAACTATGAGCAAGGAGCCTGGAGGTTCGAACCCGCGCCCAGTTGGTCTACGCAATTTTTGTTAAACATAGACCGCACGGCCACTATTTTTTAATTGGAACGCTTTTAATTCAAATTTTCAGCGTAAAGAAATTTATGTCGAAAAACTCTGAAACAAGTTTGTTTTTTAATATTATCAAGTTTCTGAGCCTAAATGACCAGTCTTCATAGACAGAATATTACGTGGTCGCTTCAATTGCTCGAAAATAGATTAAACTCATAATTTTTGAACCTGTTTTTCTAGACAGAAAGATTATTTTGAAAAAATTTGATTACGACTGTAAAGATTTTATTATGATATATCATTCCGATAGTTGTTTTGGTACCTGATTTTGTCAGAAAAAAAAACTTAAAAAAAGCGAAGACAAAGTTCGTTCCCGTTTTGGAAATCTTGATGTTCAAATAATTTTTTTTTATTGAACAAATTCTTTTCCAACCGAAAAAATTGTAGTTTTGAGCTCAAATCAAATTTGACTTAAGTTATGGGGTTTGAGATAGGCACTCATTTAGCCATTCAGAGCATTAAAGCACAAAAATTTAGCAGTTTTTCATAATACGTTGTTAGCAAACGCGGCGACATATTCCAGCTCGGAATTTTTTTTTAACTAAGTTGCAGCATGCAAATTGATCCAAATAATGTGTTACAATGTATGAAAGTTATTTTGCACAAAAATTTATGCATGTGGAAAGTTTTTTTTATAAAAGAAAGAATTCAATTTTTTAACGTTGTTTTTTTTTCTGAAACATTAACAAAACTTGATATGTAAAACTACTTCAAACACGGTAAAGGTCAGGCGGAACATTCAAGGCCTCGCAGTTTTTTATTTTATCTAACAATTTGAGTTCTATCAGTTCTTGGGCTCGATCAAATTAGAATATCAAAGAAAACACGAGTGGAATCATCGTCATCGCAACAGTGGAGAATGAAATCATTTCAACTCCACTTTGCAATTCCGATGAAGGAGTTTCGGCGATGATCTCTTCTTCTTCTTCCCAGCTGTTACCAATTGGCCTCTCAGATTTGAAGACCAATTTTATGTTCCCTCCTTCAACATAGCAGTACTGCTGGTCTTGCATTACCTCCACGTCTATTTTCTCGGCGGCATCCACTCCACACGAAACTGGGAATTTCCAGTAGTGTAGGTAATTTTCGTCTTTCTCTGACAAAGAGAAGTGAACTTTCAGGTCAGGATCAGGGCACAGAGCTTAAAAAAACAGTGAAATTGAGATGAAGACAGGGAATATATGTTCAAAATGATGGATCGGATCTGCTCAACAATCCCCCCTATGCAGTAGCGTGCTGCGGGGAGGAGAAGGTGCAACCAAACCCCCCTCTCTCCCTCCCCCCTCATTTCTGGCAGCCAAATTTATCCAAAATGTCCTCCGGTTGGTATGACTCTAGGAGATCCATTTTTGACTGGCCAACTTCAAAAATTTTCTAAAAGAGCCTTCGGCTCCAATATAACTAAATTTCAGGGGGGAGCGCGTGCCAAACAATGCAATTTTTTGGTCAAAATTTTTTCTATAAACGCTCATTTTTAGCCTGTTTTTTTTTCAAAACTTTTGACAAAACAGTGTCCTTAGTGTTTTTGGAGAGCTCGGAAAATCAAATTGGCAACCTAAAAAACAGGTCGACAAGTTTTCAAATTCATTTCGATAAACCGCCCCCCTTGAAAAAATTCTGCGCACGCTATGGTATCTAATAATGACTCTCCATCCCTAAAAATAGTACTAGGGCTTCTTTATTGAGATTTAATATTTTGCTACATTCTGATTGGTCGAACATTCGAAAGAAAGAAAGAATTTATTTCTTCAGACAATTAAATGCAAAAATACAGAAAATGAAGAAACACATTTTTAATAGTCATCATTAAATTTATCTGACATTTTGTATAACATATCTGAAGAGGATAGACCAAGGGCATAATAATTGCCCGCTTGACGTCTACCCTGGACGATTCGACTAACTTACCCGATTCGACTAACTTAGTATATTTAACAAGCCCCCCCTTAACAATCTACTTAAATTACAAAACATCTTTTAAATTATTCCCCCCTGAAAGGTTGGAAAGGTTTAAAGAGGTGCAAATCCTTATATTCTGAACCCTTGATTTAATTCTTGATAAGGTGGTTTATTCTTCACCAGGAAATCATAGCCCCGGGTAGACCAAAAATGCTAATCATACAATTTGAAGGTCAGCCCGGGGTTTCAGAAATAATATATATGTAAAACAAGCAAATAGTGATTGTTTTATGACTCAAACTAGTCACACCATAAATTAATCGAACAGTTCAAAAGTATCCTTGTTTCGGTATCTTCTATCATCTTCTAGTGTATGTTTTGACAGAGTTCAGAACCTTGTTTATTGAATTACGTGTTGATTTAACTGGCAACAAACGTTAACTTTTATTGGTCTTCCAAACGTAAAATAGAAGATTTAAACAGTGTGGCTGAGATGATGTTGAAATGGCCATTGCAGCACTGATCAAACTTGAGGTTCAAACTCAAAGCTTTCTGCAACTATGTCTCATCTGATTTATAAATTATGGTCACGAGGGTTTTATGGTCACATACACTTTTAACATTTAACGATAAACAACTTGAAGCAGATACTACAAAAGGGTCTTGCGCAGTGTCTTTTGACAAAGGGAAAAAAGATTACGGGATCAAACTGTGCACTGGATAGGCGCACAGTTTGGTGCCTGTATGTGCTTGGATTCCAGAGACAAATCTTTAAACATGTTACAAAGTGTAAGTGGATTCTACGGGGCAGTACAACAGCAGCCCCGAAGTACAACAGTGCCGAAAAATGAAATGTTGTTCAACAGTGCAGAAAATTATTTTTAATACTGTTTTAACTCATCCCAAATCACTGATATGTTATTTAATTCAAATGGAGGGAAGTTGAAAAGATGCCATCTTAATTGATGCCACTTGTTAAGCAAACCAAATTTTCCCGGCGCGGCGTCAAATACTTTTCAGAACCAACAATTAACTCATCAAATTGTCAGTTTGTCTTCTCGGTTTCGCTCCAAAACAAAATAGTATTCACGCAAAACTGCCAAATAATCACAAAAAAATGCAAAGTTTCCAAATATCATCAATTTTTGGCACAGTTGAACATCTTTTCAGTTTCGGTACTTTGGTACTTCGGCACTGCTGTTGAAGGCCCCGGAGTCTACTTACAAAAAAAAATCCGTGGATTCTTCGTACAAATATCTGTAACGTAAATTTCTTCAGCACACTTTTTGTCGCGGACTCCACAACAAGGAAAAATAGCGAGTTATTCTGGTACACGCAACTGTAGGCAGATTCCGCTACATTTAAGTGGGTTCCGCTAAATGTAAGTGGAAACCGCAACATTTGTGAGCGGAATCCGCAACTATGAGATTCTGCGACAAAGGATACGCTCACAATTCACAAAATGGGCAGTTTGCCCTCGTAATGAAGTTACGTTGGATTTTGCTGGTTAAAATTCTGTTTAGCTCTCAAAGAGCATTAATTTTGCGCCAAAGTTGGCCTCCTAGTACCTTTCCGGCAAAATATTTCAGGATGAAACTTAGCTGTTTTTTGTGAGCGCGCCTCAAAATACTCGCGTTGTTGTTTATTGCAGAAACAATTGTATAAATTTTTCCAATTAAAAAACGACCTCTTCATAAGAACTTGGGTTGGAGAAAGGTGCTGAGGTATCAATATTTGTAGCATCCTTAGGCCCGGAATGTTGTAGCTCGCTTTCGGTTTTATACAAAATTGGATGATAACAATTACTGATTCGGATTAAGAAAATATGTTTCCCAGAAATAAACATTAGCAAAACTTTCCAGCATAAACAAAAGCGGTCGTTTTCACAATGCTAGCTTTAGCAGACCGGTTTTTTTATCAAACTAACATTTAGCGGTGCAAGATAGTTTTGCGGACGATGGTGTTTTAGCAGACCCATCTTCTAACAAGATTCAAAACAATTAGCAGGTCAGATTACTGAATTCAAACGCGGCATTGACCAGTAGCGCTTGCTCATTTGTGCTTTCATTTGGCTCGAGTATTATTGTGCACGTTGATTCGCGCATATTTAATCTATTCAGTTTTTTACAGTAGATAGTTTACTTGACAAATCTTGAGATAATTTTTGTTCCGACTTTCGAAGAAAACGGAATGTTTATGCTCGGTGTGGTTTTTTTATTCAGTCAATTTTCGCCGATCGAAATAATAGTTTTTGACAATTTTTTATACCCCATTGAAGATATCAACTTCCCGAGTTCAAATGTAAAAAGATATTTTACCTCAGATTGTTTTTTGGAAAGTTTTGGGGGTTTGAAAACTGCCAAGTTGGCCATGCTCTGGACTAAATTATGCGCGCTTTGAAGAACTTATTGATATTGCTGATAGAGGAACGCGAATTGTTTTGTTATTATGATAACTAAATCGTTCCAAATGAATTAAGGGTAGCTAATCGGATCGGTCGTATTAATTTCATACGACCTAACATTTCACACTTTGATGTTGTCCAAAACTTATAGGTTTTCCATATTTTCTTTTCCCAAAAACTATTCAATATGAAATAAGGGAAAGTCGGAACATTCAGCGCTTTGCCCTGATATACGAGCAGTCTTGTCTTTTTAAGCAAATACTTGAGTAATTTTGTGAATGAGAATCTGTATTTGCCGCCAATTTAGACAACTCCGTTATAGAGTTGATGGAGTTTTTATGAGAAACCGTGAACTGCTGACCGGCAAATAAGGCGACAGCCGTTAAGGCGACAACATTTTTTTTGGAAATACAGTACGCAAAATGATTGTTTTAAGTACATTTCTGAGAAATACAAAAATGAAATTTTAACAATAAACACGCATCGACCGTTATTCCCGTTTTTTGGTCAAAATGAGGTCGAAAAGAAAATATTGGTAGCTAAATGAAAAAATCACTGAAAATCTCGTATTTAGGTAATTAGTTATCTGTAAAAACTTATTGGGATGCATTATAAAGTACATTATAAAGTCTGAGCTGGGAAAGGTTTAGGTTGAGTTTAGTTTTTCATTGTCAAGCATGTTTAGACACAGTCGATGCAGAAATTCTGCAATGATACAGAAATTTAATTCTGAGTGTATGAATTTAAAAAAATCCTATTTCAATCAAGTTTTGGAGTAAAACGCAAATCTTACTTGCAGGTATGTCATTCTTTATCGCTTCAAAAATGGGCTGAATGTATCTTTTCTTCTGTTCCAGTTCTTCCGCGGAATATTCATTTGAGGGATATCCCTTAGCTCCCACGATTCCTAGTTCAGACAATGACTGAGCCCACCTGATATATAACTCTTCTCCCACAGTGACGTCCACTTCAATGTGTTCGTAGCCTCTATTTTCTCCTTTCGCACAGTAGAAACTGTAGATCTGTTTACTTGGGGTTTGTATGTTTTCGTAGTGCCTGAAATAATTATTTTTAATTGATCGTTACAACAATGCAAAAATGTCAGATAGCTTAAAGCAAGATCGCGGGGCTCATTGTCATTGCAGGCATGATGTGATTGAATAAAAGAGTGATCTAACAAGCATTCGACAGAAACTAATCATCCAAAGTTTCTCTTATTTTTAAGAAAAATTTGAAAAATGACTTCAAAGGTTTGAAAAAAGTTCTCAAAAACTTAAGAGAAAATCCTGCGTGATTGTCTTTTAATAGCGGTATCTCAAGGCATTTCAGCTTTTGGAAGCTAAGCGCTTTGTTTGCCAATTCAAATTCATAATTTTTTGAACGCAATTTTCCAGAACTTTTTTGCTGAAACTGTTAAATTTTTCCTATCAAGCTAGCTACAATTTCCATGGACAATATTTGCTGCTGACGGTAATATTTATTTTGAAATCATACTTATCAAACGGAAACAAAAATTAAAACTTACGTATAAGGAGGTTTTTAGTACATGCTATTTATAGACACACTGCTTCCATTGTTTTTAAGGCCACTGCTCTTATCTATATTGCTCTTACATCATGCAAAAAATAATGGGCCTAAAATATTTCCCCCACAACCAAGTAAAAAATGAAATCTGCGTTCAGACAAAATTTTCATAGTCATTTTATCTAAAAGTGTTCAAAAATTTTAGTCTGGGCTACCATATAGACAAAACTGCACTTAAGCAATTTACTTCTTGAAAAAGTTTGTTTTCACAGAGACGAGAATTTGCGTCAAAAATAATATAAAGTTTTAAGAAGTTTCTAATTTTGACTCATAGCCATGTATAGAAAATTACCATATAATTTAAATTGAAACACCTTTTATTGACTTGAAGCACTGCAAATCATTTTTCAAATAAATTTTTCTTCTCATTTGCAGGATTTGTTTTTGTTGTTGTTGTTGAATTTAGCATCAATTCTTTTCGTATCTAAACTTTTGTATCTGTTAAATTTTTCTTGAAAACGTTCAAATTCATTGCAGCAATTGGCAGCCATTCAATTTTTATTAGCCGTCCACTTTGTGATACTTAAGTACTCACACCGTTTTCACAACTTATATTGGAAAGAACGAAAAAACGAAATTTTGTATCTTTTTCTTACCATTTCCTTGTATAGGAACAATTTTTGTGTGTGGATATGAATCTGCAATATCTTTTGTTGGCAAATTTAATTTGGTGACTTTATTCCATTTTTCAGAACATTACAAAAGTCAATTATATCGAAAGCCTATCTCAGGTCAAAGTAGTTCTCAATACTTTGACTTAAAACGTTTCGGTTAAGGTAATGATATCTACAGTACCTACAGCTCATCTAAAATTGTCATCTCAGACCAAAAGGATATTTTTGAACGTTTTTTCCCGCAAGGTACTGAAGTTTGTTGCCGATGCAATTTTTTTGTCCAAAAATTGTAAAACCAAAATCACTGTACTCAAACATTTGTAAAATATATCATTATATTTACTCTTGAAACAAACCAAGAAGTATAAAAAATTGACTGTTGAAGACATGTTTTGATCTGAAATGAGAAGTCAATTTCATGGTTTTGGCGCTCCTGGGTGGGCGCAAAATATCAACTTTTGGCTGTTTACCGAATAGTTGATTGTTCAATTGCAACCAACGCCAAAAACATACAGCAGAGTACGGATACAACAATAGAGATTGACGACGAAGTCAACTCATAAACCGTAGTTTATTATCAACAGCAGCCTTACACAGCAAACACCAAAGCCCAAAAAATAGGGTTACATCAAAACCCATCGTTTTTGCTCACTATCGGCAGTCTCGATGTCCGAAACCATCTCCCAGCAATCTATTACAGTTTGCCTCAAAAACCATCTCCCAATTCTGTCAGAACTTTGTTCAGCCGAACAAGTTTCAATCAATAATTTACTGAGACCGCAGTACAAAATCAGCGATCAGATCAGTTCGTATACAGGTGATATCAACTAATATAGGTCATCCTCATCAACTACAATCCACAGGACACCCTCCAAAAACCACCAAACCTCCAATTGTTTTTTATGATACACAGTCATCAAACGAATATGTTAGCCCAAATGACTTCCATGGTAACTGGTTTCTACATCACTCAAGCTACAACGAATAACATTCACTGGTTCTTCAATCCTCTATACGGTCCTAAAATCGGCGAGGCTTAGAAAGGTTTAATTCAGATTGCCAAGAGAAACTCTTCGTCTTTCTTCGATCACTAAATTTCACTCATGTTTTTGTTCACACAAATTCTACCGAAACAGAAGTGATGCTGAAATCGAGATTTGACTATCGTAACTGACTACCCAATAAATGACGAACAACTGACACCAAATCACTTCTTCATTCAACGACCATTCAGCGGCATTCCAAGAGGAGTTTTCGACGACAGTAACATACACTGACATACAAAAAGTGGACTCAAGCTCAAAAGATGATGAACCATTGTGGAAATATTAAAGAAAAAATTCCCTGCTTCACAAATGAAACGCGCCCAGTGGAATGCAATACAGTCACCGCTGAAGATTGGACCTTTGGAGTGTGTACTCAAAAACCTCGCACCGGAAATTTTTTGGTCCATTGGATGTGTAGCGGTTGAGCATCCAGTAGAAATGGTACAAAACGGGTGGTGACAGTGAAAAAGGCTCACAGCACGTTCGACCACTCCACCACCGGACTTGTTAAAATTTTTTTTATGCATTGTCATGCGCCATTACCTCATTTCGGGGTCTCGGTAGTATGTTGTTGAAGCAACTTTATGTTCCCAATATTTGTCATTCACAAGTCACTGATCTCAAGTTTTTTATCATAATTGTCTGTGCTATAATTTCAATCCTCTGTAAATATCTTATTTTGACCTTTTTAGAGACGTATTCTTATGATTTGTCAATTATCATTTGACTAAAATTATATTGTGCACAAAATCAAAAATAATACTGAAAATAACCACTTTTTTTGTGATCCTTTAGCTTTTGTGTATCCTGTCTTAAAACAATTCATACTCTAAGGCAAGTTACATTAGATTGAAACTTGTACCAGGAACTAGTATTATATCTTCGACTGGGTGTGTTATTTATCACTCAATTGGAATTCTAGAAGGTTTTTCAGTCACTTGCTTCTAGCTGATAATTTTGATGTCAAAATTATTAACTAAATCAGGCGCCTACAGTGCTGATTTAAATTAACCGGACAAAACGAGCTAAGCTTGAAATTTACAACGCGTTTTTCTCAAATTGGGTTGAGTTTAGGTGAAACCTCATGAAAACAAAACTTGCTTAAAATTTCAGCAGAATTAATATGGTGAATTTGTTTTCCGAAATTCGGCCCCAAAATTTTACCTCAAAAACGGGTCATTTTGGCTTTTCTTAGTTAATAAAAAATTACGCCAAAAAAATACGCAGTCAATCACAGACATATTTATATCAAAGTGAGCCCCTTACGTTGTCCGACAGACTTTAAGAAGGGTATATTTTCCAAAACATTGTATAAATTAATTTATTTTTGCTTGATAGACAAAAAAGGTCATTTTTACTATACGAAATACCAACTTTATTTAAAAACAACTTTTAAACGGTTTGCAATTTGTTTTTGGAGAATAAAGTTTGTTGGACTACGTAAGAGGCTCACTTTGATATAATTATGTCAGTGATTGACTGGGCATTTTTGGCGTATTTTCTATTAACTAAGAAGAGCCAAAATGACCAATTTTTGGGGTAAAATTTTGGGCCCGAATTTCGCAAAACAAATTTAAGCAAGTTTTGTCTTCATAAGCTTTCACCTAAACTCAACCCAATTTGAGAAAAACGCGTTTTAAATTTCAAGTTTAACGCTTTCATTCGGTTAATTTAAATCAGCATTATAAAACTTTATTCGAATTTTTCACAAAGCTTCAAAGGTTTTTAAAAAATGCTTGATGCAAGTCTAAAAACTCAACGTATCGATTTGGCCAGCAACAGCAATTTTTTCTTCGTAAAAGGCAAACTAAAAACAGTGGTTGACTATTCTCAATCTGAAAATGCTCCACTTGTTAAGCTAATGTCACTCTCGCAAGCGACGATTTTCTAAAAAGAATTAAAATTCTTAGCTTTTTAGCATTTTGTAGAAACATCTCACGTTACTGTTTCATTATGTTTTGAATTTGTTTTGAAAAGAGATTTGTATTTAATTTGTCGTCTAAAATATGCATCAAAATAATTAACCTAAGCACGTGCCGCTCTGAACCTGTTAAACTTTGTTGCATTGATGCCAAAGTTGTTATGTTGCACTTTTTGAGTTGCATTTATTGGATCTCTTTTAGTATATCCCCCCTGTGGTACTAAGTAACGAAGTAACCGTTATACTGAAATGTTTCAATGGTTAAGCATATGTAAACATTGTACCGAGTAACGAATCTCCCTCCTTTGCAAAAAGGGGGGGTGTAGTTAAAGAGATATCAGCTATGTTGCGCCGTTTGCAGCGTTTTAGCTCTGTCATGCTTGAATTTGAGATGTTTTCCCGCTGTTTCCGACGGTTGGCTGAGTCCCGCCAGTCGTGGCTCCTTTTTTGCACACTCTGCAGCGAGCTTATGGGTCGCTGTTTTTTGTAGCAAGTTTTCGCTCGGCAACCGTGTGTTTTTTGAGTAGCGTCAGTAGCGGCAGTTTTTTTAGTAGCGCCAGTCTGGACTCCGAAACTTTTTATAGCGTTTTTTCTTAAGCACTCGCTCCGGTTGTTAAACGTCGATACAATATTAAGATCGAAAACAAAAATTTTGAAAATCTCACAAACGCTTCGTTCCTAAGCTTGGGCCAATGAGAAATGTCAAAGCATGGTGCCTACTTTGCTTTTTTGAAAACTTACTTCAATATTCAGATCCAGCATTTATATTCGACCAATGAATTGTAATTTTTGTTTTGAGAAAACCATAGAAAAGTTTGAGTTTTGTATCGCTGTATCACAGTTGAATCAATGCCCGCGGAGCACCACCCGCGGAAAACCATGGATATACTCTCTTTATTGAAAAAATTAACTAAAAATTGTATCTGATTGAAACGTCTAAAGGTACCTGTTCAGTTGGAAGTCCGACGGCAGTTCGCATGCCGTAGTTCCTTTCGGGATCTGCTCGAATATTTTGTCCACAAACACCTTCTTCTGGGCCTTGGTGGTAGACTTGTATGTGCCCCAATAGTTGGGGGGATGCCCATTTTCAGGGACCTCGTTATTGTCTGATTTGCAAACATCTACAAACTCACTACCGGCTGGCGCCGAAAAAACGGAAGATAGGCCAAGGAAAACGACACAAATTTGCATCAAAATCGTCATTTTTTGATTTGTTTCCGATAAATTGTCTTCAATTTTATGCTTCACGGCGAAAAGTTAGTTCCAGACTGAAGATTAATCGAAGTGGAATTAACCATTAAATTAATGACTTTTGTTCAGCAGTTTTGTGTACAGCTATCGGAGCAAATAAAAGTAAATTTAAGATGAAAGCGCCGTCGCGATAGTTACTCAAGCAAATACCTAAGGTATAATTATTTAGTTGTCACAAGGTTCTGAGCAATCAGACGCGGATCCGATGTGCTACGTTAATTCAAATGATAAACAATATGTCAGATTCGGATTGGTGGTTTTATAATATTATAATGTGGTTCCTGCTAATCGCAGAGGAGCTATCAGTAGGCCGCCTTAACAGTCCTGTCGAGGATAGTCCATTTGTATTATCTCCCCACATTCCAGACTGTGTTATTTTTTTGGGCGAAGCTCTTTTTGAGCTACACAAGGCCGTTTTTTTTTGCGTCTAGAACTTTCACGTGGTCAGGCGCGGATCTAAGAATTTCACGAGGAGGGCGGAAAAAAATGAAAATTTTGTCGACCCTTTTTTTTAGGTCGACCAAATTGATTTTCTGAGCTGTTCCAAACCACTATAAAGATTTTAATTTGACGAAATTTTCTGCGCCGCAGGCTAATTTTGAAAACAAAAGCCAAAAAAGGCGTTTTTAGGCACTTTTTGGACAATTTCGACTAAAAAGTCGCGTTTTTTCGGCGCGCGCTCCCCCCTCAAAATTAGTATAGATTGGCGCCGAAGGCGCATTTAGAAAAATTTTAAGGCCAGTCAGCCAAAAAAAAGTTATCTTAAAATAATACAAAGGGGGACCCTTTGGGTCGGCAGGGGGTCGAATTTCTGAGGGGGGAGGCGCCCCCCTAAATCCGCTACTGCACGTGGTACCACTATTAGCCGAAATTGGTCAGGCTGCGGTAGACCTGAGTCTATTCATTAGTTCAAAGTTCAAATTATTTTAACGAGAATGAGTGACAGTATTAAGTCTTGTTTTTTATTAGATATAACCTAATTAAACAGTTTTACTTAAAATCATGAGCTGCGTACAGATTTGTAATTGGCGCCAGGTACAAAAGACGACAAGGCGTATTCAGACGGCCAAAATGCATTAGCATTCCAAACAAATTTGCGCAATTTTCAAGATTTAATTAATTCGATGTATCAAAGGTTTTTTAAAAATAAATAGGAAGGAATGTACTACTGACTCAATTTCAATATTCAACGAGACTACATTCTAAACTACTAGAAAAAAGTTAAATTGTTGTCCTGAAGTCACGTCAAAAATTACTAACGTTCTATTAGCTGTAAAATGCGTAGGTTTTTCTTAGACAAAAAAGCTAAACAAAGCTATTTAAGACTGCTCGTACATCAGGGCAGATTTTGAATGTTCGAAAAGCACTTTTCTTTGTTTTGAATAGTTTTGCTAATTAAATTATTGAAAAATTGTAAAACCTTATAAAAATTAAGCCATTAACGGAAATAATACAACCATTTAGGTTAAAAGTATATGCGTATAAAAAGCTGGAAGGAGGGGCCTTGGAGATCCCCATGCACTAAGATAGGTGAAGTTTCGGATCTCAAAGTATTCAAACAGAGAATAAGATTAATACTTTGGCCCTGTGTTGAAATACCAGGTTTGATATGCTAAGATTGTATATTTTGAAAAACAATTTTCATGCCCAGTTTTGCCATAACAGCAATACTTAAGATTCTAGACACCAATGTACAGGGTCCTATGTTTTAATACATGGAATACCTTTTTTCCTAATGCACTGTTGGTTGTTAATTTCATATCGTCAGTTTTAATTTTTTTTCAAACTCCAATTTTTTTTCGGTTTATTATCGATATGTCCCATTATCATTTGACTGTAACAGTTTGCTAAGTGCTAAGTGCTTCGGTTATGACGGCAAGTTTCGAAAAATAAGAAAAATTCGATGCTAATTTTAAGGTAATATCAGATTTGAGATTGTACGAATATGAGATTGCTAATAACAGTATGGGAATCAAAACTACACAAAAAAGTTATTTTTTTTAAAATCCAAAAAATACCCATCTCATCCATTTATTTCGCGCTCAAATTTTCTCGAAAAGTTTTGACAAAAGAGGTTTTTGTTGACAAGATAACTATTCTGCTCAACGAGGTTATGGAAACATTTATTATGTTAACCAAATCTTTGTCAGTTTGTAGGTTATTAAATATCTCACTCTACAAAAACATTAAAGCGGAAATTTCATTTTCTGTGGGAAAAATACGAATCCATAGGGTTGAAATGTGAAATTGGAAAACTAAATCACTTATATCATTTTCCTGAAAAATTTCTTATCTAAAAACCTGATTTGTTATGTTTAACTTCAATTTATTATGTTTTTTTCTTCAATTAAAACTTAAAATAGCTTTTAATCATCCTCGTTCTTAGTCAAACATTTAAACCTTCAATTTGTTAAAAAACTTTTCTCTGGTAAACAAATTAAAAACTTTCTCAAAGTGTGTATCGTACGGGGGAAATTTTTATTCTTTCCCAGTGTCAATTTTTGACTTTTCAGCTTTTGAGAAATTGTTTTGAAAAATTTTCTCTCCAGAGTAAAATTTTATCGAATTTTTTTCAGAACTCACTTATCTTACTTTAATTATCACGATTATTTTTCGTTTTTCTCTATCAAAGTTTCTCTTTTGCTCCGGATATTAAAATCCTTTCCTGTTTAAGTCAGAAACAAAGAAGGAAGAAGCATGAATCAAACTTCAAACGAAAAACTTTTTAATCAATTACAAAAAAGTTACTGCATTCTTACAGAAAAAAGGACCAAAAAACTGAAACAAGAACAACATGATTTATATTCAAAGTTTTTTTGATAGAATTCAATTGGAAGAAACGCTGAATAACCTGCGTGACAATCTAACAAATTTGTGGAAGATGCTGCAATATCAGCGCTGATGTTTTTGCACAAAAGGAATAGTTAGAACGTTTCCTTCAAAAACGATTAGCAAAAAAACAAGATTCGTCTGATTGTGTATTGATCACGCAATGCTCTCCAACCTCATTGATTGGGACTATTTCAATTTCTGGAAAACATGATGATTGAGGGGCTTTATCTGAATTTTTGTTCAGGAAGTCTTTCGATACAATAAATTGTTGAAGTGAGAGTTAATCCTTTTTTTGGAAATTGAAAAAATTTTATTCATGAAAAAAACACAATCAAAAGTTTTGTGTTTCTGAACCGAATATATGTTTTCTTTATGCAACAAAAACTATGCAAAATTGATTTTAAATCACATTTAGGATAAAGTTTTGGAGACTCCTGTACACATTATTCACTGTCAATTTTTCTCCAGAAATTAAAGAAGTAAACTGGATAAAACAAATGTAGCAACTTTGGAAATTCTAAAAAAAATTACTATGTTCTTAAAGTAAGATGAAATTAAAAGCACTAACCGCTTTACCATGTGTTCCGACTTCATGAACGTGAACATTATCCTTCTTCCAAAGTACTTCGTTTGATGTCTTGAAAAAAGAAAATGGGGAGAACATAACTAGATTTAGATTTTCTCAACTTTGTGCTGCAGACTGCAGCTACCCAGGTGCATCCTGTATTGTATCAATTAAATGAATTAAACATGATGCTTTGAAGATAGTTTCTTAGGAGAGCTGGACAACCTCCGTTAACTTTGATTACCTTCTTTTTTGTAACATTGGGACTAGATGAGAAATTGTATCTAATGAAGCAAGTTCCATTCCACTCTGAATAGTACCAAGCTTTCTGAAAAGAAACTGTGGATAAATGAAACTTTTTAATGATTTTTAATGAGTCTGCTTGGAACAGTTTAGTAGTATCTTTTTTGTCCCAAAAACAGAAAAACGAGCAAGTCTGCCAAAAATATATTGTTTTTTTTCCAAAGAAGTTTGTTTAACCAGTGAACGGATGAATAACTAAATTTTTCAAAACCGGATTTTTATTTTCTACTCAACAGAAAAATTGGATTAATATGAACACCCTGAGAACAAAACAGACTTCAGGATGTTCAAATTATTGTTTGGTATGTCTCTAGGACTAAACACTTGGGTAGGTTAGATACATTAATGTCTTTATGATTGATTTCTGGGAAATATCAGGGATTGATTTCAGGGAAAGTTATGGACTGCCCACTCTTCGATCATTTTTTACACTTCTGGGTTGATTGATCTACAGAAAAACTTTTAAGCAGACTGTTTTAACCAGCTTTTTAGGACCAAAGGCAGCAAAAGTAGGATTATATCTTTTCTACTGAACAGTAAAATCGGATTTTACTAGTTCAAAGCTTGGATTTTTTCCACCTCTCAACAAATTTTGAACTGTTTATTTACCATCGTTCTTTGCAAATCCTTATAATTTTTGCGTCCACTGATATCCGTTCTTTCAAAAAACTATTTTAAATTAGAAAAAAACTGGAGCAGATTCATTAAAAAAAGCCAATCTAGAGATTAGAGAAGTAGCTACTCCGACCTGCTCAAATTTTTTTTTGCAGCTGAGGCTAAAACTTTTTTTTTGTATAGAAACTTGCAATTATCCAAAGCTTATGGGTCTTTTTTATTAGCGCGGGTTTTTGTTCAAGTGGCGGCGTTTTTTTAGTTGCACCCAATCGGTTTAATTTTTTGTGTCGTGGTGATTCCTGAACTACTCGCTCCGGTTTTTGGTTGTCAAAGCATTTTCAAAATTGAGAAGAAGCCTTTTAAAATTACACATGAAATTTTGCTCAATCTTTTAGGGATGACTTCGAAGAAGGCAAGATAGAGCTGAAAAAGTTAGCGGAGGAACTACAGCAGTGAGGAGCTAACTAACATGCTCGTCTGGGAACGCTGAACAAGGTAAAATTGGACCCCAGGGAGGCTAATATGACAATTCAGGACGTAGACAACGAGAATATGAAATACATAGAGAACGAAAAACAAGATCCTTTCCGTCCTAACCAAGCTCAGTCTGATATCAGATATACGAGAAGCAGTGCAGTGAGTACTAGAATAGTTTTGACTGTTATTGATTTCATACTTACGAGATGTATAGGACAAGTCATCGCCGCGGATATGAGTGTAAAACAGCATTAGCAGCCGATTCTTAAAGAACGTGCAAGATCAAAAAAATTTTGTTGATACAAAGACTAAGAGTTGGAGGTGTAGCAGCCTTACCGCCAGCGGTATCGCATACGCCAGGAAACCATTTATGCTTGATGAGGACGTGAGCGACAGAAAAGCAACACGTAGACCCTGAGAATTTAGGTTTACCTCTGACTAGCTTGACAAACTTCATTGTGCACAGGGTAGTAAAGGAGCTCTCACTTCCGACGCACAACTGGAACAGAAGACAATTGCATGTAAA